TTCAAAAGAACAGTGTACTTTGATTAAAAAGTTGAGGTGCAAAAAATTATAGGCTGTTCAGCTAAAATTATCTCCAGTACCTTAAAATTGTAGGGCAACACCTCCAGGATGATCAGTCTGGAGTTACCTCTTTTTTAGCAGAGGGACTTTCACTCGCAAAGTCCCTCTGCTAAAAAAATGTGGAGAAGAGGTTACAGTTTGCCGAAGAACACATCAACTAGGCCTAAAGAGAAATGGAGGAACATTTTATGGACTCATGAGAGTAAAATCTTTTTGGGTCCAAGGGCCACAGACAGTTAGTGAGACGAAAATCTGAATTAAAGCCACAGAACACAATGAAGACAGTAAAGCAGTGGTCACCAAACTTGTTCCTGGAGGGCTGGTGTCCTGCAGATTTTAGCTCCAACCCTAATCAAACACAGCTTAACAAGCCAATCAAGGCCTTACTAGGTATACTTGAAACAACCAGGAAGGTGTGTTGAGGCAAGTTGGAGCTAAACCCTGGAGGGACACTGGCCTTCCAGGACCAAGATTGGTGACCCCTGCAGTAAAACATGGTGGTGCAAGCATCATGACATGGGCATGTTTCTTTGGGCCTATTCATTGCATACCAGGGATCATGGATCAGTTTGCATATGTTAAAATAATTGATGAGGTCATGTTGCCTTATACTGAATAGGGCATGCCCTTAAATTAATTGTTTCAACAAGACAATGACCCAAATACACTAGTAAACTATCGATATATATATATACATACATATAAAACCATGGAAGTCGGTTACAGGTGTCCAGCTCTCTTCGAAATATCTTCTTTTGTGTTCAACTGAATAAAAAAACACAAATCAGTTTGGAACAAGTAAAGGTTGAGTAAATGATGACAATTTTAATTTTTGGGTGAACTATTTATTTAACAATATTTAAACAAATTTATTCATTTTAATTCCGATTCATTTATGCTTGGCTAATAGTGACCTCAGCAGACCTGGAGATTGGCTGATTATATTAAGCTGTATTTTAATGTATATGAGCCTAATTAAATATATATATATATATATATATATATATAATAATATGCAGATATTTCAACAATCTATCAATAAACACACCTTGTGCTCACAGCTGTTTTTTGCTGACTAAATTAAAAACGAGTTGAAAGGAGGAAGAAGGAGAGGAAGTCTGCCTGCGTTTTTATATCAAATTTTTATTTGAATTTAGTGATGTACAGTTTATGAGGTAATCGCAAAAAATGTCTTAGGGGGGCCGAATGGAAATATAGAAGTGCTAAAGGGGCGCCTATGCTGTTTTTTAATTTTACATCATTCAGTTGATTTGTTGTGATTTTCGAAAAACTCTCATGACATGTTTTTACACGTCAGGGGGCGAAGAATGGCGTAAATTAAACAAATGCACCCATTGCAACAAATTAAGATGCAAATTAAAAAATACATTTGGTAGACAGTTAAAGGAGACGCGAAGGCACAAAATTCACCAAAACAAGTGAGTATACCGAAGGCATACGCAATTATTGATCCTCAGAAGTGGTAATACCCAAACAGCTCGTGGAAAAAAGTAGGCATACTGAGTATAAGTGCGTATAGCAAGGACTACACCACTGATTCATAGGATTGCGATAGTTTTGAGTTCGTACTGTCAGCGACAGGCACTGCTATTTTTTGAACACACTCCTTTTTAAGTAATTGCCCAATTGCACAGCCTTAAGAGTGTGCATATCATGAATACTGGGTCTTGTTTGTTTACTGAGAATCTACTGCACCTACTGGTAACTTGTTTGCCATATTAAAAACCTGGATTATAGTGGTTAGTCAAATTGTACTGCTATTATTTTGAACAATACTTTATAACATAAACAAAAACGGTCACACTTTACAATAAGGTTCATTAGTTAATGTAAATAATGCATTTACTAACATGAACAATACATTTACTACTGTATTTATTCATGTTAGTTAAGGAAAATACAGTAGTTCATTGTAAGTTCATGTTAACTCATGGTGCATTAACTAATGTTAACAAGCATGTTAATAATGCATTAGTAAATATTTAATTATGATTAATAAATGCTGTACATGTGATTAGTTCATGTTAGTAAATGCATTAACTAATGAACCTTATTGTAAAGTGTTACCCAAAAACCTTACATATACTTTGCACAATACAAATAAATTAGATTTTAATATGAATTTCAGCAAATAAACATCCTCATTGTGTTTATGCCTTTTTTAAGATTTTCATGGTTATGTTTACTTTTACCGTTTCATTTAGGGAAACTCCTGAGGTAAATAAGTTATATCTCTGAACTACAATAATAAATCTATTTAAAATGCTATGCTTTCCACCTCCTTTATCCCATGGCAATGACTTCTGGGATGCATCCTCGCTATCAAGAACACATCCAGGAACTATTAAGCATCCCCCGTTCTTGCGAATTGAGTTTTGGAACTGAACTTAGGTGATTGATGACGATGTTACATGAGAACACGAGGGCGCAAGATCGCTAATGAATGCATATTGAGAAACAGCCATAGTGTAAGCAATAGGTCAACAGTGCAATTCTAAATGTAATTACAATAATTAATTACAGATGTAATTACATGCTGATGATTTTATAAGTACACAATAAAGGCATTGTTGCACCTAATTATTCATTTAAATGTAAGTGCATCAAAGTTAATGCCACTTAATATAAAGTGGGCAAGATTTTGAATCAAGCTCTGAAGTATTTTCTTTTTGAGTCCATTGGCAAATGTTCTAGTTTTGATCATAAACTCACTTGATTTTGATCAGCTTTTCAGAAAACAAGGCTTCATATGATTTAGCTTCTTTTAAAATAATTTTGATTCAAAAATCTTAAGATACTTGCGCTTGCAAACACAAGTTTGCATGTCCAGAAGGAACAGTAAAGTTGCATCCATAATATAGTTGTAAAAGATGAAAAAATCTGAGGGGACGTTTTTCGCTCTTTAAATCTTCATTACCTGATCTCTAAAGGGTTTTGAAACCTGCAGAAACCCTGCTTTAGTAGGAAATTATTATCTTCTTCTTATTATTATCTCTAAGTTTTCACATTGCCATCCTGCAAACATTTCGTTACTGCATTGATGAGTGTAAATCATGTAAAATACATCTTATGTGCACAAAATTACATTAAGGATTAATGTCACATATCATACTGTCTCTGCTATTTTACAGTGTTCTCCGTGCATCTTTTTTATATTTAGTCTTTAGTACTACACATCATCAACTTTCCTGAAATTGAAACTGTGATGTTTGCCTTCTGGAAATACTGTTCTGTGTCTTGTATAATATAAAACTTTCATTTTACAGTGCTTTGAATAGTAAAAACATCAAATGGGATCTTTCAGGTGCCATCAGTGACTTTCTGTATGTATTTAGGGGATTAATTCCGTATTGTTGTCTGTTCAGATGATTTTTTTCCTTCTGTTGCACTAATAGATGAATGTGCCAGATATTCACCTGCCTGATTGTTGATTCTTGTGTTAGTCCTGTTACCAACCATAACAGAGCACTTACACATCAATGCAACGTAAAGGTTGAAGATTTTCTCTTTTTAATACATGTGACCAAATATGTAAAGCAGGTATATAAGATATTATACTTTTTTTTTTTTTTTTACAAAATAAATATTCAAATTTCCATGTTTAAAGCTGGTAAATAAATCAAAATGCAGTTCAAGACAAAGCATCTTGTCTGAGTGTTAAAAAGTTCTGGATTTGTCAACGATAATTATTTGTTTAAAACTGTCATTATCTTTAAAGATGTTCAAACAGTGTTTCTCAACCATGTTCCTGGAGGACCATCCGGCACTGCACATTTTTCATGGTTGCGTCCAAAATCGCAAACTACTCAGAAGGTATTGCATTTGAATTTATTCGTACTACTCGGCCGTTTATTTGAGTACTTTCTATGCAGTATGAATGTGAGCAGTGTGAATGGAACTCGGACATACTACATCCGATTTTATCATCAACACGTGATCGTGATGCGTCGCTTCACTCCCATTTATGAATTCTCTCATGGTGCATCATTGGATAGCATAGCATCCATCCGATGCGCACTTCAGAATCTCGCCGAAAGTACACAGTTATCCAGTAAACTGATTTTCAAATTCTTTGAACTCAGACTTTAGATTTTAGCTTACTATATACTATGGAAGTATGCAATTTCAGACGCAGCTCATGTCTCCTAAACCAAATACAACTGATTCAGATCATCGGCTCGCTAACACAGACTGAAAGACCTGTAATAGACTTTCAAAACATGCACTGTTGGTGGTCCTCAAGGAACATGATTGAGACACCGTGATAGAATATTGCTGTCAAACTCCACAAACTATTTATTTATTTTTTGCTCAATACTTTACTTTTTGTTTGCAGAACTTTCTTTTATTGACTCCATAGGATTTTGTTATGAGAGATCATAGGTATTTTATGCGCATTTTCAAAATTTATGCGCATCTTGGTGTTTCCATCAACTGTTTTTTTTCTGAGCATATCCAATATGCACATAAAAAAGTGAATAGAGACATAGCTATTTACTAACCTGAATTGATGATTTAAAATCAGCTAGCTTCAACAGCAACTTTTAACCCAAGGCTTTGAGCATAAAATTATATCTAATAATCATGTAACCATTGACCAAGAAGAATATGTTGTTGATTTCCCTATGGGGTTCTTATTGAGTCTGCTGCAAACATAATTTATTGATACTTCGAATTGTATTATTTAATAATATTAAATATTAAAATTTAATAGTAATTCAGGAATTACTATTAAAAACATAAGCACTAAAATTAAACAGTAATTGTGTTAAATGATGTAAAGCATCAACTTTGTTTTATTATTTCTTCAACATGAACGTTCTTATCTAGTTACTGATTAGTAAAACATTTTATAAAATACAACCGCTTCTTCGATGTGTGTGTGTGTAATTGACCTTTTTGGGCAAAGCATGAAAGCATTTTACATTAGCACAGTCTTTATTTTACTCGTAAATTGAAATATTCCATGGGAAAATCCACAGTGAAGAATTCTTTCAGGTCTTGACATAATCCCTGTACCAGTCTACTGTAAAAAACAGAAACAGTCACTAATAAGTCCATGATGTTTTAAACCTGTTCTGCTCACATCAGTAAGGCTTCATATTTCTTTTACAGTGATTTACAGAAATGTTCATTTGCCTGAGACTAAATGTCAGAACACAACTTAAGCTATTTACACACAAAATGATGCCAAACCTGCTAATCTACACAGAAAATGCAGACGAAAAAAATAAGTCTGAGAAAACAACAATGTACTTTGGAATATTTTTAAAAGTACTAAACTCTACTGAGGGTAAAAACTTCTTGTTTGGGCAGTGTGAAATTGACAAAAAGTTCACTGAATCTTTTATTCAATTGATTCATTCAAAACTGCAGATTCATTTAGAAAGGAAACAAGTGATGCAAATGGATTATTGAATCATTTCCTCGTTCCATTTGTTTAAAAATAAGATTCATTCAGGAACAAAACACAGCGGTTTTACTCTGAGATGCACAAATCTCTGGCTTCTTGCGTGAAACGGAAAAAACACTATATGGTCTCTAAAATGTACAGTAGCTAACCCAATATAAAAATCTATATTGTATGGAAAATGGCACTCTTGCTTATGTGATATTGTGTGCTTTACAGTATCATATATTATACATGTAAGAAAACAACAACCCATTCAGAGATATCTTCTGCTTTCTTAAGTTGTGTCTGTAACTAACAGGTTTCAACATGCGCTCAAAGCTTTTGGACTCACAAGACGTGTGTTTGTATTTTCCGTAAAGTGAGCTGAGTGTGTCAGTGACAGCTCACGCATAGTTAAAACAACACTTACGGTATTATTGTAAACAAATACCTCCCGCTCTGTCTGTATAAAGGTGAAATTTGGGCTATAACAATAGACTAGTTGTGTTTTGTGTGTTTATTTGTTTATTTTTTAGATAAATGAATGATGGTGTGACTGCGTTTCTTATAAAGAATTTCATACTTGGGCCACTGTGGGCTGCCGTTAAACGATACAACAGTTTGAAACGGACTCGGAAGAGGGATCAAAGTTCCCAAAGGATTTATAGAGCTTTCAGTTGTGAATGAACATCCACCTAAACCAAAGATCAAAGGAATGTTTCCTTCATTTTGGGAGATAGAAAAAAAAAGAACATTGCATTGATACAAACAAATAGCGAATTGTGGAAAATGGAAGAGCCAAACTTGGAAACTGTCGGAAAACACCCACGCACACACACCATGCACAACTGAATAATGTCGACAGTAAGTAGAAATCTGTTGCAAAATGCTAATAATGTAGTACACGTGTCACGTCTCTGGAAAAATCAAAGAAAAGGAAAAAAGAAAGTGAAATGAATGTGAGATCATTGAAAGCCTGTGAAACCGGAAAGCATGCAGAAGTCCACTTCTAGTGTAGTTCACTCATAGTAGACTAGAAATGACAGAGGTGCCCCTGAGCGGGTACTTCTTACCCTCATTCATAGTCCTTGTGAAGGGGTTACAGTGTCTTGATTTGCCTCTGGAAGTGTGTGTGTGTGTGTAAAATGATCATACGTATGCGTTGCTTCAGGGATCCACAGTTTCCTGGCAGTGTTTATAAGGCTTGTGTTTTGAGCTCGATTGGCTCTCCTCGCGTCTCCTGCTGGGCTTCAGGCTCTGTTGGTTTGTTTCCCTTGAGCACAGCCAGTCTCTCGGACAGACCCCGCACGCGTGGGAACAGCATGAAGTCGTAGAGCAGAGCTCCCATGGCAGCGCCGATCATAGGGCCCACCCAATACACCTGACATGAATATGGGGGGGGGCATGGTTAAAAACAAAAATGACCAGGAAGCAAATAGATTCTTCATCTGAATATGATATAGATTTGCCTCACCCAGTGGTTAATGAAGTTCCTATAGAGCACAGCAGGGGCAAAAGACCTGGCGGGGTTCATTCCGGCTCCAGTGTAATACATCTGCAAGGAGATGTACAAATGTAAAGTATCTGGATCGCTCTTTTCACAATACATATTGCTTCAAGGCAGGTTTTACAGATCTTGAAATCTTTATGCCTCAAGGCACATTAAGAAAGATAACATAATTGACTTGCGCAATCATTTTGCAGACACTTTCAAAGCAATTTACAAATTTCTATAAATTTCTATAATTTCTATATAGAATTAATACAGACAAAATAGGAAGTCAATTGTAGAGACTATGTATATCTATATAAAAATGTTACCTATAAATACAGAGCATATATTTGTATGATTCTATATTATATACAGTTAAGGCAGACATATTAGGAAATCAATTAAAGTCTGTGTATATCTATATAAAATATTACCTATATATACAGATTGTATTTCTATACAAAAATATTGCCAATATATAGAGAGCATATATTTATATAGCTCTAAAATATATAGTTAATACAGACAAAATAGTAAATCAATAGACACTTTATGTACATCTATATACAAATATTACCTATACATACAGAGCATATATTTATATAGTTAATACAGGCAAAACAGGAAAACAATTGAAGAGTCTATGCATTTCTATATAAAAATATTGCCTATAAATACCAAGAATATATTTCTATAGTTCTAAAATATATAGTTAATACAGACAAAAAAGAAAATCAATTGAGACAATGTATTTCTATATAAAAAATTACCTCTATATAGAGAGCATATATTTCTATAGTTCTAAAATATATAGTTAATACAGACAAAATAGTAAATCAATTGAGACTTTATGTACATCTATATACAAATATTACCTGTATATACAGAGCATATATTTATATAGTTAATACAGACAAAATAGGAAGACAATTGGAGACTCGGTATAACTATATAAAATATTACCTATATACACTGTGCATATATTTAGATAGTTCTATAATAAATAGTAATACAGACAAAATAGGAAATTATTTGGAGACTATGTATATCTATATAAAAATGTTTCTTATATATAGAGCATTTATTTATATAGTTCTGTAATATATAGTTAATACAGACAAAACAGGATATCAATGGAGACTGTACATATAGGTAATGTTTTATATAGATATACATAGAGCATATATTTATAGAATTCTATAGGATAGTAATACAGACAAAATAGGAAGTCATTTGGTGATTCTATGCATATCTATAAAAAAATTCCTTATGCAAGAATACTGTTTGTATGCGAGTATGCTTATTTTTCCAAAGTTACATCAGGGGTTATGCAATATAAATGCATGCTTTTGATTATATACATTAATATTTACTGTCCTTTTACTTCATCAGAAAAATGTTTCGACCAATTTTGGCCAATAAAAGGATTTTCTCCTATATATTTGCTTTGTTTTATTCAATGAACCTTAAACTATGGATAGTTCGCCTTAAAATCTAAATCTGCTCATAAATATTTACAGTTATAAAACATATTTTCCCATTCTTATGCTTAAATGTTTGATTTTCATTCTCGTTTTGTAAAAACTGCCATGGATCAAACTCATAGGATAAGCAGTGATGTTAAAACTGAATCTTTGTCCTGTTGGTGCCCTCTTACCCCCAGCAGGTGTCCCACTAGCACAGAAAAGCCAATGGACAGGGCAGCAGACCCCAGTCGCCCGTTTCTCCTCTCATCGGTCACAGCGAACACACAAACCACAAGCTGCAGGGTCAGGAATATTTCTATGGTAGTGGCCATTCCCATACTGATGCCAGGCTGAAGCTGAAATCATGCAAACACACATGCTTATCCAAATATACGAACACATAAATGGCACCTCTATGATTTAGAACATCAATCAATCAGACAAACCATTAGGCCCACTTACCGTATTCAAGGCCAGATTTCCTCTCATATTGGTTGGCGTGACCCCATAAAGCACAGCGGCGCCAGCCAATGCACCCAAGCACTGAGCACAGATGTAGAAGAAGGCACGAAACAGGGACATCTGGGAGCCAATCAGGTATGCGAAAGTGACCGCCGGGTTGATGTGGCCACCACTGATGTGGCCGATGGATTGGATGAACGTGGCAGCTGCCAGCCCAAAGCAGAAGGCCACTTGAAGCACATTGTGTGGCCCGGTGGTCCAGCGGAGAGCGGCTCCCAGACCAAAAAACACAAAGAACATGGTGCCGTAAAACTCGGCAAACACAGCCCGCCAAAAAGACATGGACCGGAACTCCCACATGGCTGCAAAAAGTCAACAGAAGCAATGCAGAGGGATGAAAATGGAGGGATGAAAGTCACCAAAAAAAGATGAGCAGATCTGGATGTGATCCCTTTGGTTTTTTTGCGGATGGAGACACACACACACACACAAAAAAAAACAAAGGTGTGTAAACTATGGAAAAATAAGCATAAATGCTTCTACAAGCTACAAAGAAGTTGGCATGAAAGGCAGTCCTGCTTCACAAGACTGAAATCATCGATCCTGTTGGCTTTTGTCATAAAACCTTGAGTTTGAAACTGGCTGGTGGTCTCTGCATCTATGAGGAAGTTCTAGATGAGATTTAATAAAGGAACACGGATTGACAAGTGATGAGCATGTCCTGCAGACATTCAGCCTCTCTGATGGGGAAGCGTGAGGCCACAGGGGTATTTATAACAGCCGTGACCCTCTGTGACACTGTAATCCTTTGGCTGAATTGTGGGAGGGGGCTCTGGACAATACAACAAATCGAATTAAAAAAAAGAGAAAAACACAAGCCCTTTCTGTCCTGCTACTCGTTTGAACTCATGCACATGTAGTAAACCTAAACATTTTTTTTTTATGTGCATAATTGTGAACATAGTTTAGATTCCCATCTAGACATTTCCCTGTATTTATTTCCATAAAAAACTGTTCAAAAACAAATGATCTCAAACTAGAGATCATAAAAGAGATCAAACATGGGGAAAGGGAAACCGTGTATTTATTAGAAGTGGGAAGATGGTGACATTTTAGAGGATCAGCCCCAGAGCACTAGAGTTCCATCCCAGCCCGTGATGGGGAACAGTGTTGGAAACTGCCTCTTCTCTGGCCCCAGCTACAACACCAGGGCCCCTAAAAGGGTCCAGAGCCCTTCACAGTGTGGATTAAGTGCTGACACAAAGAAACAATCCCTCTCATACAACAGAAGGAGGCCTCACACGGATGTAACCATCATACCTTACACACCACATGCACAGGACAAAACAAGTGTATGGTTTTCTTTGTTGTTTAAAATAGCAATGCCTTGCGGATGAAGAGGTGGATGAAGGTAATCAATGAATTAAAATATATTTTTATATTTAGAAATACCAATCTCTAATCTCTAAAATTCATATTTTATATTTCACTGTAACCCTTATAAACCTAATATTTATTTGCAAGATAACTGCTGCATATTTGTGTTGCATTCAACTTCTGGCATCTATAAACTGGTATTTAAGCCAGGAAGAACATATTAAAAATCAACAGGACCAGTGGGATTTAGTGTCACCCCATGAGATTTCAGTTGGGTTAAGGTCAGTGGATTGAGCTGGCCACTCCATTACCTCACTCATTTTTGCCTGAAATCAAATAACCAAGTCATCAACATTTGTCTGTGCTCGTTATCTTGTTTTAACACCCATTTCCTCTTCGGCACAGGGGAGCATAATCTCTCTAAGTATTCTGATGTATTCAAACTTATCCATGATGCTGGTAAATGATAACTGGGCCTAACGCCACAGTACTAGAAACATCTCCATGCCAGGATTTTTCCTGCCTCTGTGCTTCACACAGTTTTCGTAGAGTAATGAAACTTAATATTGATTACTGAGGTTCATCTGATTTACTGATTTACTACTACAGCTGATCCGCATTTTTCTTTGGGTCATTTGAGAAGTTCCTTGAAAAATTTGATATGATTTTTCTGCATATATATATATTTTTTTAACAATGCTGCTTTTGGAGGCTTCTTGCAGAGCTTATATCAAGCGTTGTGGCTTGATTTTCGCCTTTATATGGCTATTTTTTTATTCGATTTAACCGTTTTTGCATGTTTTAATTCTCAGTTCATGTTTTTGTCACCACTATAAAGCATTTACAAATTATATTGGACCTATCAACCTATAATTTGCTGCAGTTCTTTTTCCCCTTAGCACTTCTTCTCTTCTCAGATCAACTTTTACTTAAACGACACTGTTTTTACATTGTTGTTCATCATTTGGATTGACCCATTTTATATAACAATTCAGAAATATTTTTAATAACAATGTGTAACACATTGCTGAGCGTTAAGAATGAATTCATTCTCTCATTAGACTACGCACTGCTATTATCCTGAACACACCCCTTTTAGTTACCTAGAACAAGCAGCACATATAAAAATAACGGTAGGATGTGTTGATTTTCTATTACATTACATAATCATTTGAAATACCATACTATCACCACTGTTACTAATAACTGTGGTTCATGCATAATAGTGTTTTTTAACACATTCATTAATTCATTTTCCTTTGGCTGAGTCCCTTTATTCATCAGGGATTCACTACAGCGGAAAGAGCCGCCGTTTTTAAACACAAATGCATATAATTATTATTATTAAATTATTGACAATTTTTACAAATATACAACGCACTGTTTTAACTTCCGAATAGTTAAGAAATCTATATTTACATTTTTAATAAATACATTTTACTCGAACCAATAAACCTAGAGAAACTGAGCATATGAAAGTCGACTCTTCATTGTACACCTGCTTTTAAAACCATTAAGGCTGTATCTGCATTAAAGAGTGACTCTCTCCAGCACACAATGAAGGCTTTGCCACAGCATCTCTGCTCAGGCAGAGCCAGTTGGTTCTGTGCAGAAGTGATTAGGCAGAGTTTTACATTGTGTGTGCTGGCAGGACCGCTGGCTTGAGGCCCAATAAAGCTCTGGAAATCCATGTTTGAAGGCAAGAGGTGATGGCGGGGCGGGGGACACGCTGAGCCCTCTGCTCTGGGCAATCACAGACAGCTATAGTCTAGTGAATGGATACTGCTTCGCTTGTGTATTTGCTCTTTCATTTGGGATGAACTGAAATGCTGGCAGCAACAGTTTCTGTTGCCTTCTTTGATTAGATTTTTGTGATGCGTTTGGGCTTTGTTTCAAATGATAATGCTTTTGTATGCAGAAGCCTGAAAACATGTAACTTTACACCAGAAATTCAGGTGTGCATTAGTGAACTACGACAACAACATCATCGAATTACAAGTTCTTTCAGTCCTAATTCTTGTCACTAATCATGATGTCATAAAAGATGAAGCACACCCTGCACATTATGAAACAATCCAGTTACCTGCACCCTCAATCTCAAATTTCATATTAGCCAAGTTACCTGCTAAGACAAGATGCATTTGCTGTGAAAACAGGTGATTCTGGTTTGGTTGAGGTGGTTGTGCACAGGCGGCTCAGAGTCACCAACACTGTGTATGTCTATTGTGGGCAGGATTACCCCACGCCACTGCCTGCTCATGTGTCTGTAAGCCACCTTTTGTCGCACAGGAGAGACAGATCAAAACCGCTTGCGTGAGGACTTTTCTATTACCTCCAGTGCAAACTGCTGACATCAACACGACCCTCCCCGACCTCCCACACAGACACTGTCTTAAACAAAACACCAGATCCACTCGGGGGAAACTCAACCTATAAAATAATCCAGGTCTTACAGATCTAATCATTCTGCCCCTCCAGATGCATCATTTACATCTCCATCTGCTGATTTCTGCTATTTAAGGCTGTTCATCAAGGCGCACATGATTTCATTTCATGGTTTCAACTTCATGAACACAATATGACTGAATTTGCAGTCTCACACCTAAAACAAACTGTAAATATCAGGATTTAGACACACAAAATCACATTTGTGCTTTGAAAGTTGAAGCAAGGCCGTAACAATCAGTGGGGATGGGGGGATACGTCCCCCTTACTTTTAGAGACAGACCATTTAGAAACAGGTGATTAATAATTATATGAACGTAAACTTTTGGATCTCGTACAGCTTTTAAAATGTCAGCTACGTGCCTGTTTAGAAGTTTGTTCAAGTTTGACAAAATATTATGCATGTATGCGTTTGTTTTATTATTTTACACCCAAAAAAGTTTACATATTTTTCAAAAGACAAAAACCATGGCTGAAATTAATCATAAAACCCCCTGCAAAAGTTTGCATATACCCTTGGTTTTTAACGTGGTATTTTTTTCTGCTTCGTGATGGTTGTATGTTCTGAACAAGCTATTAAACTGCCTGCTTCTTCTGAGAAAAATCTTCCATGTCCAGCAGATTCTTCAGTTTCCAGCATCTTCTGCTGATTTGAGCCCTTTTCAGCAGTGGCTGTATGATTGTGAGGTCAATATTTTACTCTATAAATGATTGAGGGACCTAACACAACCATTAAAAATGAAATAAAAAGATAAAATGCTCACTGTTGTGCAACCCCACCAGCCCTACACCATCCATCCTGCTCCGAGCTGGGATCAAACCAGCGACTCTAAGACACAACTTTATTATCTTGTTTAGGGAAACTAAAATTGCAGCAAATTGTCTTAACTCAGGAAAAGTTCCATGTACACATTGATAAAATATTACCACACAACATGCAGCGCATCATTTTTAAGTGCATCTCCTTCCCCACTGGACTCATTTATTGACCTAATGGCTGCCATTATGAAAGAATTTTTAATTCTATTTGTCCTGCATATAGGATCTCTAAAACGACGCCCTGATGGCAGCAGCTGAAACAGAGTACAATGGGTGATCCGGGGTGCATAGGATACCCTGAGCTCTCTGTAAATCATAATTCAAGAGTTCATACTTAGCTGATGATTGATTATAAAGCGTGTTTGGCATGCTGTCTCGGGAGAGAGCCCTGAGCTCACAAGATCCTCAAGCCCAGGGCTCCCACCTGTTGCAGGGCGAGAGGGGAGTTTGAGCTCAGGTAGATCTTGAAATTTCCTCTGCTGTAGTGGCTAATTAACAGATAGTGATTGCTCTTAGCGTATAACTACTTACTATGAGCACATCTATGATGACGATTTGGATTTAGTCAACTAAATTAAGTTGTGTATTTTTGGATGGTGGGAGGATATCAGGGGGCCCGGGAGAAACTCACCTGAGCACAGGGAGAACATGTAAACTCCACATAGAAATGTCGGCTTGCTTGTTAAGGACCAGTGACGTTCTTGTTGTGAAGCGACAGTGCTAACCACTGGACCACCATGCCACCTATCTAAGAAAGTCTACACTGTCTATTTAGTTTCATTTCTAAATGTTCGTTTCACATAAAATCTGATTTTGGCTGATTCGCTGATTGGCTCCTGTACTAGAAGGAGGGCTTCATTTGCCATATAGTGAATGCTGATTGGCTCCTGTTCTAGAAGGCGGGGCTTCATTCACTATATTGACAGTTACACTTTTCCCCATTCAAAAGTAAACGAGTGACATGTCTTATGTATTCTATAAGCTGTGTCTCATTTCAGAAGCTGCATCCTTCAAAGGACGCATTTGAAGTGCGCTGCGTCATCGCGGCGCGACAAAGGCGGTCTCATTTAAAAAAATTCAAAGGCTCCTTCAAATGCAGCCTCAGGATGCGTCCTTCATTTCCCAGGTAATGAAGGACACTACCAGTGGATCCTTTGTGGCTTCGAACGGCCCAAGATTAATTGCACGCTGATAACAGCAGGACATTTTCAAAAGAAAACTCCGGTTTAAATGTATGAATTAACTTTATTTTACATGGATATATAAAACACATTTTAAAAAAACAAAAAGAGTATGACATGTCGTACTAAAGAGAGATTTTATAGACAGTTTACATTTTTATGCTTCTGTATACATTGCTGTTCCTTCAAATCGCTTAAAGTAAGTTTTAAAATCACTTTGAAAAAAGTCGACACATTTTATCAGCACTTTTTAGAAGCAGCTGTTACGGTTGCCTTATGATGAGATCGGTCCGCTGTAGGCAAGATCGTCTCATTTCAAACGCTCAGTCCAGCCTGTGTGAACTTGGAAGGAATCACATTTGAAGTCTGCATCCTTCGGAGGATGCAACCTCTGAAATGAGACATAGCTATAGTCTTTGGTTATACTTACCGCCCTAAACCTCACTCCAATCCAGGTCACGGCACCAATGTAACCCCACCAGTCCTACACCACCCAACCTGCTCCAAACCGGGATCAAACTGGTGACTCTCTTCACATGGGAGTCGACTGCTCTAAAACAGAGGCTAAAGACCTGGGCCTCTAGCAACTGTCATTAAAGAACCTTTTCAGGTTTAGAGGAGTGAGGTTTATCTGCACAGCACTTCACTAGCTGGCCTCTCCTACAGTTGCTCAGGAAGGAAACAAGAGGCATCTTTCCACAGTTCACTGACGTTAGTTTGTTTCTATGTTGCTAATTTCCAGAAATTTGAGGAATCTCAAGGAACTGCTTTAACTGTATTGCTGTTATAGGGCTGATTGACCTGCTTGATAATTATGGTCTGATTTGGTTGATGAATGCAGGGAAGAAATTGTATGTTACTGAAGAAGCTGTTGATAAACATTTGCATTTAATCTGCCATGTAACTATATCAGAGAAACTCCTGCTGCAAAAACATTCATTAGGCCAAAGTTGCCCAATCTTTTTCAGCCGAATGTAAATATACCAAATATTATTAGTTGCCATGGGTAATTTCAGAATTTATTTAATAATATTTCAAAATAAATAGAAAACATTACTTTAAATCATAATAACTAAAGCAGTATAACTTTTTAAAAATTATAACTTATTGCAATAAAAACTAACTACCACGTTTATAACACAGTGGAATTCAATGCTGAACACACTAGTCAAGCAGAATCTGCCTTTGAATTGATTTGCTAACCAAAATCTCTGCATTGTCTCTACGTTTAAACAAAATCTGATTAATATACACCATTTAACTGAAACATTTATTTTCAGTTAGCATTTACCAATAAAACAAAGGGTTACATTTAATTTGAATTGTCAATTGCGACAGCCCTTTTTCCCATTGAACGCCTTGAGGGCAAAACGCCTGCTTGACGGGCACAAACTGTCGCAAAAGACTGCTGAAATTGGAGCCAGACATGCGCAGAAGGACTGTCTGATGGAGCCAGAGGAGGAGCCGCGAAAATGAGCAGAGTCGAGCTTCCAATCAAACGCTTTATGTAAAATCAACTACGCCCCCCGAACTTCTCAGCATGCGTTTGCTGTCATATCAACACAAATGGATGTAATAACGTTAACAAATATGAGGGTTTTATATATTCAATCGCGCCAGCTCCAGGCCGCAGCGCACAACTTACTCGCGGCGTCGCGGGCTGATTCCGGCTCGCATGCGGCAGCGCCTGCTCGCTTGGCCGCCGCATCTGGCTCGATTGACTCGGACTGGAATCGGGCAGTGAGTCCAGGCATCCGGAGTAGGTCCAGCAGAGGTAACATTAGTCAGTCTGAGCTCTAAGAGATAAGTCTCCGGCAGGCGAGAATCTAGCCGGAACTGTGTTTTGCTATCTGGGTGGCTAGGCGTGTATCAGCAAACTAATAAAGCCCGAAAAAAGCCCTGAACTTAGCGAATAAACAGTGTTCCACCAGGATCATGTATGTCAGAAACTATAGTTTACTGCTGAACTCATTTTGTCATGGTAAAATAACACAGAAATCGAATAATAACATTTCAGTCTACTTCAGTCTCCTGCCGAAGCTCAGACGCCGCGCTTTGAGAAACTGTCAATCACAGCTGTCAATCACGATGACACGCCCAGCATTAAATTACTGCTAAAAACAAACTGTTTACAAAAATGAAAATCTGCACCTATTTCAGCACAATAACCAGTGCCTTAATCGACCAGAACTATCTTTCGGGACATTTTATTGCAAGTGTAATATTTTTTTTTATTTGGGCTCAAGTCTCCTTCATTAACACGGAGGAGGCGGGCTTTATGACTTGTACTGCAGCCAGCCCCCAGGGGGCGATCTAACGGCCGAAACCTTCACTCAAACGTAGGCTTGCGGCACACTTGGTCTTGGCCCTTTGGTCTCCAGTGCTGCTGCCTGCAACTGGAGGGTTCCAGTCATTTTAGAACAGCTCACCCTTTTGCAAAGTCAATGAAAACTTGAAAGTTAGGCAGCCAATTAAATAGGGTTTTTCAGATAATTAAGAAAATTACCACCAGGTGCCACATTAAAACCAATAAGAATCTAAAAGTGTGCTATAAACATATACTTCCACAGGAAAAAAACAAAAACTCGATTCATTAGATTTACTATGTTTTTAGGTGGTTGCAAACTTTTTATATGGGCTGAATTTAAACAAAAAAAAAAAAAAACATTGCAGCCTAATATTCAAATTTATTTGTTTAAATTTCAGCCCATGGTTTGCAACCAATTAAAAACGTTGTAAATTAAATGAATCTTTTTTTTTTTTTACCGCTTTACCTTTCGGTCTAAGAAGTCTGAAAAACCACACTACAAACCGGCAGGATGATCAGGAAACTGCATTGGACTCTACCTAATGGCTGAAGAAGCGTAAGTTTGCTGTTTAAAATTACATTTCTAAGTTGTTTGTTAAATAACTGCTTATATTCATGAATGGTTGAACAGGCTTTAGGCCAAATGTAGCCTACCATAAACAAGCAGGAAAACAGGTCTCACCGCGTCCAATTCCAGAGAAAACGTACAGCACAATAGCCGAGTAACTGAACTAATAATAGCCGTAGCTTAGCCTGTTCTTTAGGCCTATATTTTCGCATTTCATTCGATATGAATATCTCGTCACTTTTTGACATCAATTTGATTATGATGGACATGGTTATGCTCACAGCTGACATCTACCGTCAAGTTAAAAGTAAAACGATGAGATAATTTTCTTGAGACAAATGTTTGTTTTTTTTCCCCATTTATTATTTAACGATGACTTGTTGAACCTTGACATATATAAAATGTTTGGTTTTCTGTACAACTACTTGTATAAGTACAAGTCTTCTTAAAGTTAATCTGTTTTTGACCGAGAGTAGTTTGAATGCGTTACCCAATATTAGGCACTTCAACAGCTAACCGATTTCTTGGCCTTCAAACAAATGCAGTCCATGAATATGATTCCAATCAAGATCTGTTTGTCAGAAATGGGCCTACAGCTTCATCTAGTGGCGAAACCACGGTAGTTCGGTTTCATGAGCTTGGAACAAAATGTTCCTGTACTTCTGCAGGACATTTTTGAAGGAGATTCCAAAGAGGGATGCTCTTATTTACTGTAATACAGGACAAGATGCCCTTATTACTGGACAAGTCTATAAAAATATTAGCACTTCTGCCAAGTGTTCATGATAAACATTTAGAATTAAGGGTTCCATGGTTTAACTTAAAATCATGTGCAAAAAACCTCCATATTGGTACAAGAAGGGTTCAAATTTGAATATTAAAAATAATTGCACTTGTTAATAAACAAACAATACAGCAAATGTTCCTGAATTACATACAAGCACAGGACAAATAATTTTCTTGTGTTGTTTAGAGACAGTTTATTAGAAATATGTAGACAAAAAAACCTCACTGCATTTAACAAACTGAAATTTATAACCCTGAAATGACAGGTCACAATATTGTTTTCATCTTTTAGTCACACCTGCATTGATATTAAGAGTGCAAACACAAATTGGTCATTTATTGATAAGTTACCCTTTTGTTCTGTACAGCGGTGAGGCATACACTTTTTCTAAATCACTTCTCTTTACATATATGGAAGAAACCAGTGTACAATTGCCTGCTACACGTCTAATTGTGATACAAAACAACAAATACTGACTGCCAACCTGAAATAATTTCGTCAAGCAGCGTGTACAGACAGGAATATGTACTTTGAACATGTTGGATTGACACACAAACCTATCCGAGGGTCAAAACTTTAGCTAAAACGCATAAAACGGTAGTTTATCAATGAATCAGTGCAAGAATTTGAATATGCCATTCTGATTTCAAATGCAGTCTCGGCTGTCATTTGCAAAGAAGAAGCATTGATTTAAGACAGTGCTTCCTTTGCTCAAGAAATCAGGGCCTGAACAAAAAAAGAAGAGAGAATTAAATAAAATTTACAGTTTGAAAGAGGGAGAAGGCAGAATATGTCATTTTGTGTTCTTGTTCCATTACTACAAATTACAATGTATACGTTACATAACCCCACGGACATTGAGGAAAGAGCCCAAGACTGTAAAAGCCATTGAGTAAACGGACTATAAATGGTGTCCACAAACATCATTGAGAGCTTGTAATTGTCCATGCAGAACAAAAAAGTTAAGTGTATTGGGGTCCGAGTTGCCATCAACACAACAGTAAAAACTCATCCCTTTTGACTTTCGGCAGAAAGACCTTAAAAAACAGTTTTGAAAACGATGCAGTTTTTTATGACTACCAACTCAAACTTAGTCTCTCTCTTCATTTAAGTGTTACGTGAAAATTCTTGCTTGCTTCTGGCATGACAGATCCTGTTCCTTCACTCAAGGTCTGGCATTTCTGAAAATATACACATAAAACAAACATTTCATTGAAATTATATTTATAACATGTTTTAATATGCTTACAGATATTTATTTTACCAATATACAGGAAAAAGTCATTTTTATAATTATAATTATTTACAAAGCATACAGGCTGAAATAACAATGCAATGATATGTATCGATTCAACTACCCCTCATCCCCCACAAAAAAAGTAATGGGTTTTTATACACACACACACACACACACACACACACACACACATATATATATATATATATATATATATATATATATATATATATATATATATATATATATATATATATATAATAACAACAATAATACTACTAATAATAATGTAATTAAACAAACGTTAGAAAAGGGGACAGCTGATTTAAGAAAACTTACTTTCGTCATCACTATCCGGAGACTCTTCCTGGAATTTTTAGATTAAATATAGGTTAAACACAGAAAGAATATTTCTGCATATACACAAATATAAAATTACATAAACGATCTTGTAAACATAGATATTCATAATAATGAATTAATTCACAACTAGTTTATGAAAACCATAACAGGATACTTATTTAAAAATACCATATTACAGCACAAATATACACTACCTGACAAACGTCTTATTGCCCATCTATGTTTTAGGAACAACAAACAATAACTTCTAGTTGATCATTTGGTATCAGAAGTGGCTAATATGAAAGGCAAAGACCTCTAGATTATGCTTATTTTACCAAAATTAAATATGATAATGACTTGATTTTTAATTTAGACAGCAAGGTCTGGCTTTGCTGAGACAAAAGTCTTGTCGCTTAACAGAAATAATGTACAGTATAGAATATAAAGTCATGGTGCAGTGGAAGAAGAATTAACATTTTGTATGACTCCCATGAGCTTGGACGACTGCATCCATATATCTCTGCAATCCATAAGTCATCTAGAATGGCAAAGAAAGCGTTCTTGTAGGACTCCCTGAGTTCATCAAGATTATTTGGATTCATCTTCAATGCCTCTTCCTTCATCTTACCCCAGACATGCTCAATAATGTTTATGTCTGGTGACTGGGATGGCCAATCCTGGAGCACCTTTACCTTTTTTGCTTTCAGAAACTTTGATATGGAGGCTCAAGTATGAGAAGGAGCGCTATCCTGCTGAAGAATTTGCTCTCTCCTTTGATTTGTAATGTAATGGGCAGCACAAATGTCTTGACACCTCAGGCTGTTGATGTTGCCATCTACTCTGCAGATCTCTGGCATGCCCCCATACTGAATGTAACCCCAAACCATGATTTTATCTTCACAAAACTTGACTGATCGGTAAGAATCTTGGGTCCATGCAGGTTCCAATAGGTCTTCTGCAGTATTTGTGATGATTAACAGTTTACAGGGCCGGAGCAACCTAAACTGCCGCTCTAGACAAATGATCATCACGCCCCCCCCTTAACTTAAAAGTGAAAACGAAAGTGACCAGTTATTAAAGTGAAGAACCGGGGGGTGGGGGGTCACGGATAAAAACGAGAAGCGGGGGGGTGAGGGAGGTGTCGTGGACATAATTGAGGACGCGGGTGGTGAGGGAGGTGTCGCAGATGCCGCCCTCTCTATTCTGCCGCCCTAGGCGACTGCCTAGGTCGCCTCTATGGAAGCGCCGGCCCTGACAGTTCAACAAATGATTCATCAGAAAAATCTACCTTCTGCCACTTTTCCAAATGATCAGCTAGAAGTAAAGTGTTTTGCTCTTAAAACTGGTATTGACGACAAGTCTTTTGTGAGGTAGTGTATATATTGAACAACATTATGGCTTGAATATTTCTCTCACTTCATCTGCACCATCCACATCTGGTAGGTCATCTTCCCCTCCCATGTTGTTCATCATCTGTATGCAAACAAACCATTTATTTTCTACAATCCAAGTAACGTATTCTTAAACATAACTAGTAGTGCAAATGCAGAAACAAACCTCTGAAAATCGGTCAAAACTGGACAATTCTTCATCAGAGTCATCCTCCCAGTCTTTCCAGTTATTGAAGTCAACACTAAGCCAGTTAAGCTGCACAAAGTATAATAAGAGACATAATTTAACATAGAAGACATGTGTAACATTATTAAACTTATTACCAAGACCCGTTCTGACCTTTGCTTTCTCTTTTGTTAACCTTGGCCAAGACTTGCCAGGTTCTGCTTTTTTTAGACAGCAAAACACAGATCTGTCTGTGCGCTTGTGTTTAGAGTCCTGCAAAAGAAAAACACAGGTGTATAGATATGTGCCTTTGACATAAACAATAACATGAGCTGTGCAGATTGAGGGTATATGACCAGAAACCTTCAGGTATACACTTACATTTGGGTCAATGGCCTCCAATAGATCTACTTCATTGTGGTGTTTCATGTTATCTGTTCCACCAACACAACTAAAACAGAAAATACAGGATATTATAATAAATGAACTACCATGGACCAACAAAATAAGTATGAAGTAAACAAGTATACAATGAATATTTTTAACATTGATGTCACGTGCATGTTTATGTGAATAGAACATATTCAGTCTGTATTGTGCAAGTGTATTTGACATAAACCCATAATGGCAAACTAAAGGGCAGCATATGTGTGCGCAGGTGCAGTTTTCCTGTACTGATATTGCCCACTACTGGTCCGACATGAATATTACAGCACATGCAGACAGTTTCAAGTGGTGCTCGCTGCAGAGCCATTTGAGGAGAGGTGAGCTCCAGAGAGGGGGAGCTTAAGCTTGAGCTCCACCTTTTTTGCACTTCTTCTACGAGTGATGTCACTGGGGGTAGGGTTAGGGGTGGGGTTGGTGTACGCATTAAAACAGCTTACAGGAGGAGGAGCGACAGCTCATGCTCCCCCTCTCTGGAGCTCACCTCTCCTCAAATGGCTCTGCAGCGAGCACCCTCTCGACAGTTTTGGGTTTTGTTAACTGGAATTGATGTTAACTTTGAAAATGTTGTCTTTATATTTAAAAAAAAAACAAAAAAACAAAGAAAAAACATTAAAAAAAATGTTGTACATTGTTGTGTAATTGTACCCCATTTATTGTAATATTGGATTTTTCGACAATAAATATTAGCGGATGGTAGAGCTCTATAAATTATACAAAAATCAACAACTACAATAAAACTAATTTGGTTATGGGGGAAAAATTAAAAGTCAAAGATGAAAAGGGGTTTCAAACTCAAAACAATAAATGTGTAATAACTCATTTTTACATTTACAATGTATACTTTACTATATTATTCTACTTTATATCTCTGAAAAAAAAACTATAATCTTACTATAATTTACAGAAGACCACTACTGAAATGCCAATTCAATGTAACAATAGATTTTGTACTTAAATTTTTTTTTATTAAATATAAATCACGGTGCTGTTGTTGGTGCTGTAATGGTCCATTTTTTGTTATTTGTAAATACAAATGTTGTCAGGCATGTTTAGAACAAGAAACATATGATTTAATATTATTAAAGACAATATTGAATGTTCGCAGTGCAGCCCCAACAACAATTAATTGTCTTGTAATTTGAATAATAAAACCAGTCATAAAAATTTAGCATGATTACTTATTCTCTTATAATTATTTTAAAAGGTTTAGGTCAGAAGTTGTTACATAAATATGAAACATTAAAATATACAATTTAAAAGCATTTAGTATGCTGTCTATGCATATAAAATAACTTTTTGTAAATCTAATTTGATGTGGATGCCAAAATTTGATGTCTCATCTTTGACAAAATATTCTGATTGTCATTTTCCTGCACATGGCAATGTGATAATGATTAAATTAATGTTTTAAATTTAAACACTATTAATTAGGGATGCACAATAGATCGTTTGAGCATCGATATTGTAATGTGTGCATTTACAATAGTCACATCGCAAGATATGCAATGTTGAGTTAGGATTATAGATGACCAGAAACCACATTTCAAAACAAAGATATGTTTAGACACTGCTTAATTTAATCATAATAGAGTGAAAGTTTATCATCTGCATGTGTTTTTGAGGCCTGTGACTATGTGAGCATTCATTCATTCATTTTCTTTTCGGCTTAGTCCCTTTATTAATCTGAGGCCGCCACAGCTGAATGAACCGCCAACTTATCCAGCACGTTTTTACGCAGCGGATGCCCTTCCAGCTGCAACCCAAAAAGACTATGTGAGCATTTTACCTTTAAAGCATTTTAGTTGTGCATAAAGAAGTTTAATAAAGGTTATTTTTATTAAATTACTTGTATAATGAAGACTATGCAATGTTATTTTACATTTGACATTTTACATTTATTTAATTTCTGTACCTGAATACTGTTAGATTCTCTCCAGAAAACATGGTTTAATTTACTTTCATTTTTGCACCATTGTGTTGATATATGAATGTAGTTTGTTTATTATATGTATATAATAAATTACATTAAAATATATATTTATATTTCATACCCCTACACAATCATCCCAATCACACTAAACTAAAGACTTTGCAGATAGAGCTATAACTGTCATCTGGTGAAATTGAATTTATATCGCAATATACATCGCAGAGAAGAAAATGCAATGTAAAATGTTTCCAAAATCACTCAGGCCTACTATTAACAACTTAAAACAAGGATGTACCTGAAATCAAGCTTTGTTTTGTCAAATTTAACTTGGACATCTTTGCTGTCTTCTATACAAAACTCGATGAAGACAGCTTCCCGTCTGTCATACCACTTGGCAGTAGCTGGCTGCCTGCAAAACAAAAAATGAAAAGCAATGTTTTAGAAAAGGCTTCAGTCTAACTCCACTTTAATATGACATTCAAAAACACAGTATCACTTAATTCTAATGGAATCCATGAGGAACTGAGCAACCAGCTAAGTGCATTTGTTAAAAGTCAAACTCCACACTAAAAGTGCAGCTCTAAATTAACATGTGCGGGCAGGAGGTCCTGGCGGGGGTGGAGCAACAATGACGTTACCGTGGCAACCTATTTGTATCGATTGGCAGGATCATGCATGGCTTCTTAACAATCTACCTTAGGCTTAACCCATGTAATACAATTATAGCAAAACCAGGCCTCTGTAATAAAGGGCTGCACAATAACTCCTATTTAAATCTGCAGTTTATTTTTATTGCTGTAGTTATAAGCAGGGTTTCTGCAGGTTTCATTAGGTTAATTGTAAGACTTTTAAAGACCTTTTTAAAAACATCATGAAGGAAATTTTAGACTTAAAGCTAAATGCTAAGGATTTTTTTTTCGAATATCCCAGTTGGAAAAATTTTTCACTTGCCCTCTCAAAAAATAATCAGAATTTAATACATTTAATAATACAATAATAATAATAATAATTTAATAATAACAAATATAGGTCAGGTGGTCAGTATCCTCAGCAGTAAATAAATGGGCGAACTTTTTAAAAAACAATTACTGTAAGGAAAGTAATTAAACAATGATGGTAAATTAGTTCAAAATGCAATTTCTAAATGAAAAGTTTTGTTGAGATTGTTGGTGATTGTATGAGTGTTAATGGCCAGATTGGGAAGCTATACATGAACAGAGGAAAATTAAGAATGTTAAAAAAGATTTAAGACATACAACAAAATATTTCAGTTGATTTGGGACTATTTGAGGCCTAAATTAAAATTTTTGAGATTTAAGACTTTTTAAGACCTTGTGGATACCCTGTATAGGATACAATAAAACAGTCATTCTAAGTAACTTTTTAATTTTAAGGCTTTAAAAAGTTACTTTATAACTTTGATTCTTGGAATAATTCACCCAAATATTTAGAATTTGCAGCATTTTCTCTCCCTTATGTGGTTAAACCTTTAAGTATTTTTCTTTTGTTAAACACAAAAGATGTTTTAAAGAACTGTAATCATTAACCTCCATTGTAGGAAAAAAAAGCACAATGGCAGTCAAGGGTTACAGGTTTCCAGCTTTCTTTAAAAAATCTTTTGTGTCTAACAGAAGGAACTCAAATGTCTGAAACAATTAAAGGGTGAGTAAATGACAATGTTTGCGTGAACTATCCCTTCTAAGATTAATTTTCAGCATCATTACTCCAGGGTTCAGTGTTTTACGTGATCATTCAGAAACCTCAAGATGCTGAACATTTATTATTATATTACTATATTATTTATAAAGGAGATTTGGTTCATATTTTTTAATTTTAGCATTTATCATGTCCATACATGCATATAAAAAGATGGTGTATCATTGATTGCAGCTGAAAACCTTTCAGCCTTGCTCTGCTGGTTTAGCCTGTAGACTGTTAACCAGCATGACCTGAAGGAAAGTACTCAAAACCATCTCACAAACCTGTCGTGTGAAGTTGGGATGACAAACTAAACCCCTTCAGTTGGCCAAATAGCCACCCAACTGATCTCCAGCATGGAAGACCAGCATAAACTGGCATTAATACCTTCTTAAACCCGTTCAAACAGCAAACATGACTTAAGCATGTTCTTTTCCAATAGGGAACACCCAGCCTGCAAGCCTTGATCTGTAAAAGGTTGATTTATATGACACATATATTGCTTGTACATTCCACAATAATGCATATGAAGCATGAATAGATGAACAGAATAGAATCATGCCATAGTAGCTTGCAGTAACCCCAGGCCTAACTATCTAGCTGCTAACCAGCTAGCTAAGCTCTGCTGTGGGGACAATGTGTGCTATTTCCACCACCAATTTCCACTAGACGTTTTTCTACACAAATTCTAAGCGTCTTCACGAGGAAGATTCGTATTGTCCTAAATGTTCATACATGATAGCTGGCGTATGAGAGAGAATCTGGTGTTTCGCTGATAAAGGTTATGCACACATTTGCTAACCAGCTAAAGTTAGTGCATCCCTATGACTGCCGGTCAGACTCACATGTCGAATTCTCCTTTCAGTGTTCACCCAAATCTGCGTCTCCTCTCGCGTCCTCTCGCCTGGGGTAGTGTTTTGGATTTGTGCTGTCAGATCACAGTGAAGACATACAGACGGAAGCTATAGCTGTTTATGCGCCGCTGTCAACCTGCACAAGGAGTGCGCGTGTCTCTACACACTGGCGCGCAGTGACGCATCAGCTCAACGTTTCTAGCGACTTCTGCTGCGCGCCCCCAGCCATGCGCGTTCCCTAAGCAAACACGTCTCCATAGTAACGCAGTGCTCGCTCCCCTGCTCGCTCCGCCTTGACAGTACAGTACAGGACGTCCACTGATGCAGGGCCACACAAATCATACGTCATACTTTTTCTTGAGTCAGAATGAAATTGTTTTGTCAGGATCCTCAGGCGTACTACACTAGGCGAAATGAATGAAGTGCATGTGCATTCACATGTATTTTATAAAAAGCATTTAATTAAATATTAATAAATAAATAAAAATATCTGTCTGTCAGTCTGATAAAGGCAACACTTAAAGAACTGCAGATAACAAACGAAATAAGGTAATAATACAAATGATACCAATAATATTAATACTTTAGTAGACATTTGTAATATTAATAGTGATGATAATAATAATAATTGTAATAATAAAACAACAAATTATGAAAAATTTGTAATATTAATAATAATAGTAATAATAATTTATCAATATTATTTATTATTTATTATTATTATTATTATTATTGGCAGCATGGTGGTACAGTGGGCAGCACAATCGCCTCACAGCAAAAAGGTTGCTGGTTCAAGCCACGGCTGGGTCAGTGGAGTATGTGGAGTTTGCATGTTCTCCCTGTATTCGCATGGGTTTCCTCCGGGAGCCTCAGTTTCCCCCACATGTCCATAGACATGTGATCTTGGCTGAGTAAGCTAAAACTGTCTGTAGTGTATGTGTGTGAATGGGAGTATATGGATGTTTCCCAGTGATGGGTTGCAGCTGGAAGGGCATCCACTGCTTAAAACATATGCTGGATAAGTTGACGGTTCATTCCACTGTGGCGACCCCAGATTAATAAAGGGACTGAGCCGAAAAGAAAATGAATGAATGAATGAATGAATTATTATCATTATGATGATGATGATTATTATAATAATAATAATTATTATTATTATTATTATTATTATTATTATTATTAATAATATTAATAATAATAATAAAATAACCATGACACATTATTTACAATAATAGCAATGCCATAATGACAATAATTATTGCTATAAACAAAACAACAACAATCAACATTATTATTATTATTATTATTATTATTATTATTATTATTATTAATACTACTACTACTAATAATAATAATAATATTTAAAAAAACTTATAATTTTTGGTTGTTGTCTGTGGATTTTTAACAGTTAAGGTATATAGATGGATGAATGTGCTATTTTTATTATTATAATTATTAATATATTATTATTAATATCTATCTATCTATCTATCTATCTATCTATCTATCTATCTATCTATCTATCTATCTATCTATCTATCTATCTATCTATCTATCTATCTATCTATCTATCTGTCTGTCTGTCTGTGTCTGTCTGTCTGTCTGTCTGTCTGTCTAATAAATAGACAACACTTAAAGAACTGCAGAAAACAAATGAAATAAGTAAATAATACAAATTATACTAATAATATGAATACTTTAGTAGAGTTTTGTAACAATAATAGTGATAATAATAATAATAATTTTTATAATAAAACAACAACTATTAACAAAATAATAATTATCATTATTAATAAGAATGAAATAACCATGACACATTATCTACAATAATGACAATGACATTAATAACAATGACATGATGACAATAATGATTATTATTATTACTATTATAAATAAAACAACAACAATCAACACCACTACTACAACTTCTACTACTCTTTTACTACTACTACAAATAATAAAAATAATAATTATTGTTGGTTTATCTATCCATACTTCCATCCATCCATCCATCCATCCAACCAACCTATCAAGGGTTAATCAGAAAAAGCACAAAGGTCATCCCATAAATTACAACACGATTGATGTATGAGGATTTTAAAAGAGCGCTACACAGCGGTCACATCATGCAATCTCTAATCCGGCTCCATCAAGGCTGGAGTGACGAACTTCCTGCCTACATTATCTTGTATTCAGGGTGATTTTTTTATCCACTGTAATTACTGAAAGGGAACAGAGTGATAACAAATATGACGTAGAGACCTCGAGCTAACGTCGCGAAGCAGCTAAAAGCTAAAGAGTCTCGTCGTGACAGTCAACGATGTTCTTTGTATTCATGATGTCTTCCTTTGAGCAAGGACGGGGAATTGGAAAACCACAAAGAGACTGAGCTGGTGTTTGTGTGTGTGTGGAGAAAGCCAACTTGAATAGGATATCCCGAGCTCACATTCGCCAGGATTGTCATAGTTTGTTTTTTACGGCACGTTCAATGCAGCGGTCGTCTGTTGACTTCTTCATCGAGTGGAAGCAGGCTTTCTCCAGTTGCAGTAGGTTCCCTTTAATTTCATCTCTTCCGGCAAGTCACAGCAGAAGGTGATTTCATTTATTACATGAACACAATGGGCTTTATAAAATGGTTGTTAATTTAGTAACGTTAACGTACATGCCTAGGTTAAATAACGTAGCGTTACAACTGCCAGGTTGCTGGATAATCCGCAACACAAACAATGCCTTGCTCTAACTTGTATTTATTTTCTCTAAAACAGGGAAATAGGCCTGTTACTACAATTAACGAGAATTTATGGGATCACAAGGTAATTTAGTTTCAATAATGTAATCACTGCAAGCATCAAGTGACATTCATGAGCAGGACCAGGTAGTACAAGACAGACAGAATGGTCCTTTGTTTATATACTGTGTGAACACATTTGAGTGCAGCTGATGTGTTTCTGCACAACTGCCTGTTGGTGTTGAACGAGCTGACAATATTCAGCCTGTTCATGCAAGAAACTTGATCATTTAGAATATTCCAGCATTCTGCTGCACAGCTACAGATTGATTGAAGTGTGAAAGGGTTAACGATATTACAATGATTAATCCTGGTGATTTAATCTTTTTATTAGAGATTAAGCGGAGAGAGCTTGTGAATAGGAAGAATATGCATGCTACCCTGTAGGCGTTGAGGTAAAGTTGGTTTTATATTCACACATTCAGTTTCTCCTTAATAATAATATATTTTCAGAAAAGTATTCTTAGTAAATTCTTAATAGCGAAATCATATTAGCAACAAATGACTATCAAAGTGCAACATTATTTACAGCCAAATGAAGAGTAAAATATTATTTTCAAGTCATCCTTACATGTCATTTCAGACTAGGGCTGGGCAATTTAATTAAAAAGTAATCAAAATCGACATTTATAACTAGGGATGCTCGGATTAGGATTTTTGCAGCCGTTACAGAGTACAAATTCCTTGTAATGGTGATCGGCTGATACTGAGTACAGATTCTGGTACTTCAAGCTTTATAATGTATAAAGCACATTTTCAGTCCAAGTATGATTCTTTAGTGGCGATCTCTCCTTACCTAAGAGAATACGTTAAGAATGTTGCATATAATTTCTTAAGCATGTTACTTATAACCATTTTGTAGACATGTCATGGTCAGAAGCAGCTTCCCAGGAAATATTATAGATAAAACAGGTTAAGAAAATTGGTAAGAAAATCACTAACAAAGTACTTGGGAAACATTTGCAAATGATGGAAGAAGAATTCAACATGGCTCAAAGGAGTTTGGAGTGCCTATTTGATGCATAAGAAATTAAAATGCACACCTATAAATTCATCGCTTCCTTTACTAAAAATAAATAAGTCCATAAACTACTGTTTATTGCAATAAATACATTATGGCAAGTTATATTATTAAAAATTCATGTTAATTTTTTTCCCCTAGTATTTCCAGACAGGTTTTAATAAACTGAATATTGTTAAAAACAAAACGTATATCAGCACTGAATAAAAGATTTCAGTTCTTGTTTGTCCTCTGCTTGTAAACTTGTAAACAAACAATTGTGATCAGTTCATGAGATTGACCTGATTAGCGAGTACAGGTCGAGTTAATATGTGATTATCGGCCAATACTGATCTGTGGCCAATCGATCGGAGCATCCTTATTTAGAACCTATAATCGATTAAATTTTTCAGGGTCCATTTCTTTTCAATTACTTTCCCTATCATGTGCAAAAGTCAAGGGTTTGCAGTCATATCTGATCTCTGGTCAAGTAGGATGATGGACCTATTCTTGAGCATCACTTTGCACTACGCTGATGTTGATGATTGAAAGCTGCGCCAGAGATGTTTTGAGACAGAATACTTTCCTTTACATTGAAATTGTTATTTACATTAAAATATTTGTTTATAGAAGATGTAAGAGATGCACTGTGCAAAATAATATTTACAGGATTTAAAATAGTTATTTTATTCAGAAGAGATACTGCTTATGTTCTACTTTTATAATGAAAAACACTTAAAATAATTATTTATTTTTACTTTTTGTAAGAACTTCAGTTTAGGCAATATGTGATTTAATTTCAGTTGTTTAATGTTGATGTTCAATAAATAATTATAGAAAGTGTTTCCTTCAATTATTTTAAAATCAAGTAATGCACCCTTAATTTAGAAATTTCTCACTTGTTATATGTGAGCATATTTACTGTGCAAAACATGTCAGTGAACTGGCAAAAAAATAAATAAATAAAATCGTTCATTAATTGTAATTGAGTTGAAATTGCCCAGCCCTCTTTCAGACCGAATATTTAGAGTACCATGGTAAACAATATAAGGAGCATGTCACAAGTTGTCACTGAATGAATGTGTGATTTTTAAAAACAACGTTACCTCAATTTTTTTGATAGGTGTGAAGAAGTGTTGTGAATTTATGCAGGGTTTCCTCATTAAATGTGTATTATTCATCATATGTCTCTGCTGACAAGGAAAGTGCGAACCCGTAACAAGTGTGAGCACAAGCTAATTTTTAACCTAAAGTATTGTATAAAGGCTGAAAGGTTGAACAATATTGTGATTGATTAGTATTTTTGTGATGTCAATAAATCACTGAGGTGCCATACAGTGTGACATGCTGTTTTTAAATCTAGTTTCATCAACTTTTTTATTCGTTTTGGTGAAATTGGGCTCTTGTTATGACTGCCTGTTATAAATTTGACATGATATTATAATATTGCAATATCAAAATATTTTTAAATCATGTCAATTTTTTGAAGTCATTATTTTAAAGCATTATTAAAATAATTTGTTTATTAAAACAATTTGTTTTAAAGCTAAAATATGTTTATATTTGTTTAATATGGTATTGGCTTAGGTAATCACCAGTCACCTAAGCCAATGGTTCTCAACATAGGGGTCAGGAGACAATGAGTGGGGGTCGCCTGGTGATTGCCGAAAATATCATATATGTTATTAAACTATTAAAATTCCCATATTTTATCCTTAACCTACAGAAGATAGAGAGTATTTAATAGTTACATAAAATGACAACATGCAAATAAAAAGCCATTAACCTTTCAATTCTTTTTTCATTTGATTGCGACCACTGGGGTTATTACACTAGATTAATGACACAGCATTAGTGTTAGTTGCAGCAGATTGATTTCACGGCACAATGTTAAACTTTGACACCTTTACAGCACTCACGTACATTAAAAATAAAGGCCACAACTGAACACAGAGGATTATTTCCAAGTGGCAGTCTCCAAAATTATACCAAGAATAGTCTTGTGCTGCAAACATTGTTCACACTATTCTCATTAAGTAACGTTAATATTAAATTAAATAATTACTTTTATATAGCTTTTATTTTATATTCTTAGGTGATACAAAACACAGATGTTCCGGCAAAATGCCTTCGCACACTGAGGAAGACATTGTGCCAAAACGTTTGTGTATTGTACCACCTAAGAATGTAAAATAAAAGCCATATAAAGTAATTTTTTAAAGAGTGCAAATCATGACCTGAATAATAAAATTATTGACAAGATTAACGGACCAAAAAAGGTTAAAAACCTGGAGCATGCACTGCAAACTTCATTACTGAACGTAATATTAAATTAAACAAATATATAATGACTATAAAATGTATATATAGTTATTAAACTGTTGCACTTTTCTTGTGTTGTTAATTAGCTTGTTTATATAGTTCCTATTGGTGTGTGTGCAGTGCTTGTTTATAACCACCTACGAGGATAGTGGGAGTCAAAAGTCACTGGAATTGTTATTTTGGGGGTTGCGATTGCGAGCTGAAAAGTGTGGGAACCCCTGACCTAAACTCACTTTTCTCATTTAAAAATGTGTGTGCAAACTGGTATGTTATTATTTTATAGTTAATACAGCTATGGAAAATTAAAAGGACACTTTGTAATTCCCAGTTTGTCTGGATTTAAAATATTACGCTGTGATATTTAAAGTAAAACAATGTTTTAACTTCAGAAAAGTTTAGAAAGCAGTGTTTGCACATTTGTTATTTTGAGCCATTAATGAAAAGATAAAGAAATAAATATTTTAAAAGTAAAACATCTATTTGTTTGAGCTGTTCATTTACATACCAATGGCATTTTAGGGGCTTAAAAAAGCTTTTCAAAGTGCAAAATGATACCATAATGTATTTTACATAAACATTCCGATAACCTGAAAACATAATACACACTCAACTGATGTTTTCGCAACATTGTGTTTTTGGTGCACAGAAGTAATCACACCATTGTTTTCAGAATCTTGAACATTTGTAATATAAATGAATGGCCAAAATACTTAAGTTTTCAATTTATACTACAAAAACTGAGCACAATAAGCACTTAATAATGACAAAATCTGTTCATGTTCGCCATTTAAAGAAGCCTTGCAAACCGATCTCTTTTTCTCCCAGTTTCCTCTGATGAGATGAGCGTGCGTGCGGGGCAGGGCAGTGACGAGGTGCTGGTGTCGCAGGCGGTGTGGGATTACCTTGCAGCTGCTGGACGGCCCTGGTTGGTTGACTTCGAGGACAAGCAGGGACTGAGCGCTGATATTATCCGGCGTGGAGAGCGTGGCGGCTGCTGTGCCGTGCGTCTCTCCCCGGTGGAAGGCAGCAGCCGGGCTAGAACTGGTATGATGGAGAGTCTTGTTTCTCCTGTTACACGGAAAGCATTCATAGACTTATGCCGCTGTGCCCGAAAGGAGATGACCAAACAGGAGGCGGCTCCTAAAAGGAAACGTTCGTTGTTACCCTGTGTGGCTGCAATGGAACCTGATGGAGAAAGGAGCTTGTTGCCTCCACCTCCACCTCAACCACGGCGCTCGCAGAGGCAACAGCAGAAATACAGGAAAAGCGCAGATATGGACACGTGTGTAGTTTTACCCATGCAGCAGGAGGCTTCTGCGAGGACAGTGTCTGAATTAGTTGTTTGTCATGAAGAAGAGAGCACCGTTTGCTCCATCTGCATGGGTGAAATGGTGGAAAAGACAACTCTGGACAAATGCGGCCATGCATTTTGCAGGTCCTGCCTAGAACAGGCATTTCAAGTAAAGAAAGCCTGTCCTGTGTGCAGACTAGTATACGGTCAGCTCATCGGTAACCAGCCAGCCAATGGGAGCATGATGGTTGAAAGAGACCCAGACCTGGAGCTGCCTGGCCATGAAGGTTATGGCTGCATATGCATTATTTACAGCTTCCCTCCTGGTTTGCAGGCGGTGAGTGCTGCTCACAGGCGGATTACAACTGCTGCATGCTTTGCATTCTGATAAGCGCATTATATAGCACATAAAAATTCCACACAGAGTATGTAATCACACACACTATTATGTTTTGAAATTCTTTCAGCAAGAGCATCCAAACCCCGGAGTGAGGTATCCAGGCACAGACCGGGTGGCGTACCTGCCAGACAACCCTGAGGGAAACCGCGTGCTCCGCATGCTGCGGCGGGCATTTGAGCAGCGGCTCATCTTCACCATAGGCACCTCCATGACCACCGGCATGCATAATGTTATTACTTGGAATGATATCCACCATAAGACCTCTATATGGGGTGGACCACGATGGTATGTCTTTTAAAACATGTTTGCTAAATTATGTCTGAGCAATATGTGTAACCACAGGCATCTCTTGAATTTGTACTTTTTTGTACTATTATGAAGTCTATTAGTTAAATACATTAATTGTTTATGTAATAAAATAACTATTTTGTGCTATCGATTTTAAGGGATAATTCTCAAAAGGAAAATATACTTTTTATAGTGTTTTTTTATTTTTATTGTTTAACACAATTATATATTTTGAATAATATTTAACTTTTAACCATTGACTTTAATAGTGCGAAAAACAAATACTATGAAAGTCAATAGTTGGCGGTCTCCAACATTTTTCAAAATAGCTTCTTTCGAAGGAAGAAAGTCAAGCAGGTTTGTGACCAGTAAATAACAGAATCTTCAGTTGTGGATAAACTTTCATAATGAGGAAAATAACAAAAAAGAACATTCCTCAAAACAGACTACAGTGCTCTGCAAATATGAGTAAAGACCCTCACAAATCAATCTTTTGAATTCATATTTTTAATAGGAAGCTTTACAATATTATATTTGTGCATATACATTAGATTAGTCAGTACTGAAGCCAAATTTAGAGCTTATTTTAAAAAAAAAACTTAAGATAATTCTCCAAAAACTAGTACACCCAAATTTATATGTTCTAGAAAAATATACAAAATTTAAAAATAGAAAAAATCAAGTGCATTTTTTTGTTTGTTATTTTCTAGGTTTAAATTTTTATTGCAATAATTTGCTTACTGTAATATCTTTCAATTTCAAAATCTGTTTGGGGACTAAAATATTATTTTAATAAATATCTGTTTTATAAATCTGTTTTGTTCAAATGCACCAAAATACATTGCCTATATTTACTGAAAAATGGATAAAAATATTCATTTTCAAAATGAGGTGTACTCCGTTATGCTGAGCACTGTACATGCCTTCAGTGGTTTAATCAGACTATCAACAAACTACAATAATACTTTTATGAGCACAAAAAAACAAAAAATAAATACTTTATTCAGCAATTTCGTCTCCTCAGTGTCAGTATATTGCGCACGTTCATGAGCACTGTGCACTGATGTATACCTGCACGTAAAGTCCTCTGTTTGAAAACGAAAGATCAAGTGTGACACAAATGAAGAGCATGGTGTTCTCATGAAAGTGCACCCTATATTAACACCAAGGAGAAGAAACTGTTGAAAAAAGTAATAATTTTTGCTTTACACATGCCTTTGGTCACAGGTGTCAAACTCAGTTCCTGGAGGGCCACAGCTCTGCAGTTTGGTTTCAACTCTAATTAAACACACCTGATCAAACTAATTAGGTCCTTCAGGCTTGTTTGAAACCTACAGGTAAGTGTGTTAGAGCAGAGTTAAACTAAGCTGTGCAGGTTTGCGGCCTTCCACGAACTGAGTTTGACATTATAGTTGTTTAAAGGGTATGTAATTAATATCAGAAGTTTTGCGTTTGGGTGAACTATCCCTTTAATTCCTTTTGAATACAAGTTTAGCTTTTTAGCTGCGTCTTTTATTGTAATGTTATGTTGTTTATTTTTCAGCTTTGGTTATCCAGATCCCACATACCTTGTGCGGGTGACAGAAGAGCTGCGAGAGAAAGGAATAACCGCTGACTGATTTGCTTCTAGCACTTAAAAAGGATGGCAAATGTGTATGTGTGTTTGCTTAACCACAGTTCCAACACAAAGCCACTGTGTGGAATCAAGCCACAGTCATCTGCTGCAGAACGACAGTTCACAATGTTTCATTTTGATCTTCATGTTTAGCTTTGTTCTTTAGTTTACTTGAGTGTGTTTCACATACAGTATTTTCTTTGGTACAAACCTGGGGTGCACTTTACTGAAACACTCAGCTGAGATTAAAATACCCACTGGACTGCTGAAATGCGAATGTCTTGAAGGTGTACATGTTTCCTCATCCGCAGTACAGCCTTTCTCTTCCCAGCTTCAGGTTCAAATCACTGGACTCCCTCTTCTAACTCCACTTCTTCCATTCTAGACTATGCTTAATAACATTTTCAATTTACGGTAACATCAGAGCGGAGATAAATGAGGGACAAACGGCACAGCACAGCTAAATGGGTACAGCTGGGACAATCCCATTCAACCCTTTTTCTTTTTTTCCCTAGTAATCAGCACTAAGAGGCACTTTGCAATGGAAGTAATCTTTCTATTATGAGAATTTAAAGTGGATTCTGCTTGATCTTCCAGAGTGCAGGATCTAGAGTCTTTATTTGTAGGCCTTCCTGATTATAAGGTCCTAGTCAAATAGATGCAAGTCAATTTTCTTTTTGTCCTGCTTTTCATTATCTACAATGTTTTGTCTTTTTTGTTTTGACTATGGTGTGCTTAAAAGGTAATCTGTTTATGTTTGTTGGGTTCACTTTTCCCTAGTTTGCGTTTTCAGAGGAGTTTACAGATTTTTGTGTTCATCCATTTTGGATGTCTGTCACGGATAAATAAAATGATGTCAAAATGAAAGGGCGCTTAAAAAAACTGATACCAAACTAAAAGCATAACAGCTCAAAACTTTGCTGTATCCATTGTTTTCATGCCTCAGGCTTGGAGAAAAGCCGAGCACGGAGTTTATTTTGAAGAATCAGCAGATTGGTCCACACAGAGTTCGCTGAAATAGAAAATAATTCAATAACAGCAAATAACTCTCCCAAAAAATATGCCCAGGTCATATTTAACCCTAAAATCAAAAGAAAAAATGGATCTATTGGATTTCTTATAATTATTTTTAAAAACATGACTTGGTTTTATAAAGTTGTAAAGAAATTGATAATAAAAATGCTTTTAACACGTATTAATATACTGCATAATTTTTTTTTTGGAGTTTTTGTCTTGTTTCTAGTCTAAATATCTAAATAATCTTCAATCAATAAACATTTTCCAGACAAGTAAATGGTTTGTTTTCAGAAATAAGTCACAATTAAGAGCGTTTTCTTCCTTTACCACAAGCTAAATAATCTGACGATGGGGTACGTAGAATAATCTAACTTCAAACAAGGATTTTTCTTACCCCATTTTGCTTGTTTTAAGGAAAAAACTCATTTATTCTGATTTATTATTTCTAAAAACTAAAAAATATTTTTACTTGTTTAGAAAATGCTTTATGATTGAAGAATATTTAGATATTTGGACTGGAAACATGTCCAAAAAAGCAGTTTTCTGCAGTGTAGTGAAACCGTAATACAGTAATTTAAAAAACACAAAATCGTAATAATGTATTAAATCGTAATAATCGTAAAAATGTATTGTAATTTACAATTTAAAGACCAAATTAATTAAGTTTTCTTTTGATTTTGGTGTGGGATTTGACCTTTCGTGAGACTCGTCTGAATCTCCTAAATATAAACTTGGATGCTGATGGTCATGAAGAATATTTATCAGATACGCTTTTTGTTTTCCTCTTCACTGAAAAGTTCTTGTGCCTTCTGCTAAAGGTCACAGCCTGTTTTCCTAATGGTACTCATTATTCGTTAGTATTGGTTAAACTGTGTTCTGATCAATATGAAGCGGTAACCTTACAGCACTCTTTCAGCTTTAAGCAAAATGCATCATGGTTTAGAATCCAGCAACCAAGTCTCAAATAGTTTTGCGCAAACCAAAACATTTACTTTGTATTAAGACGTTTGGTCGTGTTGTTAGAGGTTGCTTCCATTTTACAGTATCATTTAACAGAAAACAGTATCAGATTTAAGTTTTCCTTTTGATACCATGTTTTCTTACTCCAACCTTTATGTTGTGAAGGACCAATTCAATCAGGATTTGTGGAACTTAAATGTTACTGTCATGCAAAATTCTATGCACTTCAAATGTCAGATTTATAAAATAGACCTCTTCAGATGACTGATTGTTCAAATTAAATAATTTGCCTTTATAGTTGTGTTGATTTGTATTTCATAATTGAAATGTATGCTACAATTAAAATGTGCTTTACATTTTCATACTTGAATAAAGGGATTCTGTTCTGTTTGTTTTTGTCATGTTTACTTGTCAAGGTAACCTGCTCGTAAATGATTACATGGATTATAAATAATTCTGTTAAGACTTTTTTTTAACCAGAGATGTATGTGCCTCCATTAAAAGTGTCCATTAATTATGTTCACCGTGACGAACAGAATTAATTCTTACTGTAAGCAAACAATTTTTGGGTGGCGCAGTGGGTAGTGCTGTCGCCTCGCAGCAAGAAGCCCCAGCTCGGTCAATTGGCATTTCTGTTCGTTTTTCCTTTGTTCGTGTAAAAAAGTAATGCATTAAAAAGGAGTAAAAAGGAATGCGTTATGGGTGAATTGAATAAGCTTAATTGGCCGTAGTGTATGAGTGTGTGTGATTAGAGTGTGTGTGTGTGGGTGTTTCCCAGTGTTAGGTTGCAGCTAGAAGGGCATCCGCTGTGTAAAACATGCTGGATAAGTTGGTGGTTCATTCTGCTGTGGCGACCCCTGATGAATAAAGAGACTAAGCCAAAAAGAAAATGATTGAATGAACAAACAATATTTTTCAGCATACAAATTTGGTCACACAAACTGAAGCATGCTTTGATTTGTGAAAGCCAGTAAAATCACTTTTGTGTGGCAAGTGTGGGCTTCCAGAAACCATGGTTTGTCCTCCTGCATCAAACAGACATGGCTGAACTGTACATACGTTTTCGTATTATTGTTGATATGTGAATATTAACTGTAAACATCTACATTCGCTCTGTGCATCATATAAAGCAGTCGTGTCTTCAAACGACAGCTACATTTATATAGATTACTTTATTTAAAGTATCAAAATTTTGGGTGAACGGACTTTTAGAGGAGGGACGGTAATCTCTTAGGTTTTATTAATAATATATTTGTTTAAAAGAATGTGGGTTGAAAAACATGATAGCTAATGATGATTTGTTAGGTGAATTTACCGAAAACCTTGAAATGGCGACTTCAGGTGTGTTTGATTAGGGTTTGAGCTAAAATCTGCAGGACACCGGATCTCCACGAACAAGTTTGTGTTACGTTTCTTTAGTCTTGTCTTTGATTTCATTTACAAAATCAGATTGAAGCGCTGCTCCAAGTTGCCCAACAGAGGTCACCACTGCTCCAAAGTTGCAAAGAAATGTTTAGCATGGACACATGTGTTGAAGTGTACGCGCGCTCCTTAAATCGTATATTGTTTTTCATTTACATTCTTAAAACGTATGTTAACATGATTAAGATAACATGACCTCAAACGTAACAGAGATGTTCCATAATTCCACACAAGCAGCAGTTCTGCCATATCCTTCCAGGAGACAGATTTAAAACAAAGGCCTATTTCCATCGCAGAGAATCATCTGGGATGACACCAAGGACAGTCAACAGTATGTATTGAACAAACCAGAGCACACTGCAGTTATTAATATTAATCTTCGCTGCCATCAGCTTGTTGTGTAACACACAGAGGGAACAAACCTTCAGTGAACACTTTTTAAAATTCTATTGTTAACCTTGTATTGTTTTGAGGGAATGCCATGCTATCTGTTTTGGCAGAAATGCAGTGACTGGTGGTGCACTGTGCTGTAAAATGGAAAACCCGTGTTGAAATGTTACTCAGGGCATTTCCTCCGATTATGCTATTGAGCCTTGAGCAATGCACTGAATTCCCATCTGTTTTAAGGTCTATAGTAGTATGGCACACTGACCTCTCTGCATCTGACCCAACCAAACCCCTTTTTTGTTTTTACAAAGCAGGGCTAGTATAGTTAACTAAACAAAATAAAAAAATGAAATGGAATAAAAATAACTGAAATATAATAAATAAATAAATATTTAACTTAATTTACCAAGGAAATTATGTTCATTTAGTATAATTGGATAAACTTTTTTTTTCTTTTTTAAATATTTCCCAAATGATGTTTAACAGAGCAAGGACATTTTCACAGTATGTCTGATAGTATTTTTTCTTCTGGGGAAAGTCTTGTTTTATTTTGGCTAGAATAAAAGCAGCTTTACATTTTTTAAAAAACATTTTAAGGTCAAAATTATTAGCCCCTTTAAACAATTTTTTCAAAAGTCTACAGAACAAACCATCGTTATACATTAACTTGCCTAAGTACCCTAACCTGCCTAAATAACCTAATTAACCTAATTAAGCCTTTAAATGTCACTGAAGAAGTTCAAGAAGTGTCTTGAAAAATATCTACTAAAATATTATTTACTGTCATCATGACAAAGATAAAAGGAGTCAGTTGTTAGAAAATGAATTATTAAAACTATTATGTTTAGAAATGTGCTGAAAAAAATCTTCTCACCATTAAACAGATATTGGGGGAAAAATATACAGGTGGGCTAATAATTCTGACTTCAACTATATATATATATATATATATATATATATATATATATATATATATATATATATATATATATAATGCATAGAACAGTGTAAAGAATTGAAAAAAAAAATTATGGGGAGCAGAGAGAGGGGAAGGATCGGCAAAGGGCCTCAAACCGAAAATCTAACTTGGGTCGCTTTGAGCACCTTGGCCTTTTTTTCTTGGCATTCAGATGGCATTTCTGTGTGCAGTTGGCATGTTTCTTTTCATGTTGATGTGGGTTTCCTCGGGGTGCTCCAGTTTCCCCCACAAGTCCAAAGGCACGTGGTGTGGGTGAACTGGGAAGGCTAAATTATCCGTTGTGAATGAATCTGTATGGATGTTTCCCAGTGATGGGTTGCAACTGGAAGGGCATCCGCTATGTAAAACATATCCTGAATAAGTTGGCGGTTCATTCCGCTGTAATGACCCCAGATTAATAAAGGTACTATGCCAAAGATAAAAGGCATGAATGAATGAATTAATTTCTGTTGAATACTAGGTTCTGATTGGCTGTTGAACATTCAATGATAATCTGCAACTCTTTTCAGGGAAACACAAACTAACTAAACTAAAGTAGTTTAAGGCAGGTCTTGAGAGCATTACAATTCTATATCACTATGCTGAATGATGTCAGTTTCTCTTCAGATTATTACCAGATTAACAGACAGTTTAACAGATTAATTATTCAAAGTAAATAGTGTTGATTTTATTGTGACCTTAGGAATGATTTAAAGTATTTAAAGAGCGCCAGGAATGATTTATAGAAATGGACCTTTTATCATCTTAGTATAGTTGATATGCTCTAACAGTAATATTTAAACCAATTAAAAATAGCTTTGCACTGTTGTTTATATCTTTAATTTCAGAGAGGGAACTGGTCAGGTGACTGATGCCCATGTGCACGCTACAGACCATGAGGCTGTGCTGTGGTTTGAGTGCAATGCCGGAGATTTTCTGGACATCTGCTACTCTTCCATCTCACGGCCTGGCCCATCTGGCCCAACCAGGCTTTCCTCTCCACAAAAATTGTTGCTCCTTATGCCAGAAGCAGTATTTAATTCTGTATACTCCGATCCTCCCATTTCTCTATGATTAGATTGACAGAGCTGAATGACCATTATGAAATAGATGCTTTGACCTGCTTGGCATTTATTTACTTTCCTACTTTTTGAAATGCTG